ACACGCTTTATAAGCCATGGACTTCCTCTCTCTCACTGCCGAGTATTGTTTAGCGTATATCACTCTTCTAGCGATAGCTACATTACGGAGCCATTCCAAGTTTCCGTTTCTAGTCTAAGTCTAGTCATTTTGTGTTGCCTTGTTGTCTGTTTCCTGATCTTCTGCCTGTGTATCTTGGATTAACCCTTTGCCTGCTGTTTCGGACTGTGTTTGCACCTTGCCTGGACTATTGCTTGTGTTATTGGATAACCCCTCGTGTCAAGCCCTCTGGATATTGTTCGCCGATCGTAGACACACGCTTGCCCTTTGAACACTCTTTGTCTTGCCTGAAATGTACCTGTTTGCCACTGTTTGACCCATGCCTCTTATGACCACGTCTCTGTTTAATAAAAGCCTGCAAATGGATCTGCACGCCTCTCGTCTCGTCGCCTCCGTTACAATGAGAGAGGGTTGATTTTCATGAGAGCAGTTTCTTATCCATACAATGCGGGAACCAGAAGTTACAGAGTGATCACAGTAGAGAGTGATGTTGTCTCCTGGTCTGACTTTCAACTCCATTTCTGCTCCGTTAGTCTGACTGAACACCAAAACACCTGTAAAAGCATAAAATAACTATATGAAGCACTTCAATTTGTGCTGCCTTACAAAAATATTCACAGTAACTGCATTTTCATTTAGTAATTACATTTTCAAAAAACAATAAAAATAAATATCAGCTCAAGAACTATAATTTATAAGACTGCACTCTCCAGAGGTAGTATTTGTCAGTTGCATACAGTATGTAATTTTTACTACTAATTTCAGTAAAGTAACCATTATATTCCAAAGTAACAAAGAAATTACAGTAATTCCTGCCTTACAAGGAATAATGGTGTGACACTGTGACACAAAATACATGTTTTACTGCTCTATTTATTACAATGATTTGTGACTAGACACATGACAGGAAGCAGGAAGTACAACTGAATAAGAGAGCAGCATGACAAACAAACAGGGGAAAAACAGTCACCAAACTTACCTGGATTGAGGAGTTACCACTTTCAGAGCTCACCTTTCCAGACACCATCTACGAACTTTGGATTACACTTTCTGTGGATTGTGTATACACTTGTGGACACTCACATTGGACTTATCAACACACTGGGATTCTTGGACTGTTTTAGGGTATGGACAAACAAACTGTATTCTTTTAACAGACTGAGTTTACCTGGTTTTAACATGTTGTTTTAAAGTCTTTTATGTGAGCATTGTAAATACACCAATCCGTCTTAAACCAGCCTATTTTTATGTCTCATTCTTTTAACCACTATTCATCTCTCACAGTTAAATCTGACCCCATTTTACTCTTGTAACTCGGCTGATAAGGCCGAGCGTTACAATGGTCAATTTTATAATGCTTAATTTTCTGAAATGGAACATCCTCAATGAAGTATGCGGCAAATGCAACCTCAGGAGGTCAAATACACAGCAAAGTTTGATTTATTATTGTCAGATGTGGCTTAATACTTTCTCGATTTTGTGGAGAGACAGCCACATATACATAAGAAAATGTTCAGCAGATGTCTGTTATTCAGTCCGTTCAGCACTTGGAGCTGTCCAATGTGCTGAATTTCTCCTGGTTCTCCACATTTTGCACGTGAAAATTTTTTCTAATTAAATTCACTATGTTCCATAATTGCAAGGTCAGTGCGTGATATGACAAGAAAACGTAAATTTCTTATTAACTGAAGAATGTCTAATATGCATTTCCTTATCAGTATTAAACAAGTTTTCCAGTAAATGTGAAACTCCATTAGATGTTTTTGTCACGGAAACTGCATGTACAAAAATGTAGTTGAAAAAGATGGTAATTACTTTACACTTATTACATTTTAAAATAATTTTAATTTTACAACACTGTAAACATTTTCAACCTGTTTTAATTGAAAACCCAAGTTTAATGAGCAACTTTGCCTAAAGAAATTTTAAAAACATGATATCGCCCAAAACTTTGAGATCAAAACAGCGTGGCATAATTTAAGTGATTTTAAAAGGCAGTAAGTCAGATGTCACAAAGCTTAGCATAAGTATAGCATACACTTAAGGAAGCTAATTTTTTTTTTTTTGCTTAAAGGTGATGCTGTAAAAGTGGCACTTGTTAGCAAAAAAAATTACAACTACAACTGTGATTGCATGCATGTATGAATTAAAAAAATTGTTGGCTAAAGCAGTTATGTTTTCAGAAAGTGATTCAAAATCCAAAAATCTGATTATATTCAGAAGTTTAAGTGTCATACCATTGCATTTGTAGTAATAAAACAAACTAGAACTGTGGGCTGTTCTTTGTCTATGCTTAATGTCATTTTAAGCAACATTCATCTGTGGTCTGTGTCTATTATTTTCTTAGTAGCTGAAGAATTTCCTGATTAAGGAAGTATATACACTTACATTTATATTAACACCTTGCAGTTAACTTTTTCCAACATGCTTCTTTCTGTTTTTGTCTGTTTTCACACTTACATTCATGTGCATGTCCAGCATGCAGCCACACCAGGTTAAACACAAACACTTTCATGATGTTCACTGTTGCATGCTCAAGTGGAAACATTTGTGGTTTGTACTCTCACCTTCATTTTCACGAACAGTACAACATGAGTCACCACAAAGAAAAAAAAAGTCTATTTACCACTGATATATAACTACTACTTTATACTGCACTAATGTCAGTGTTACATGTTATATTAAGTACAATTATTCTACTATAATTAAAAAATAATATTGAATACATGCTGTTTGTTATATCACAATGTATTTACACAGTAAAATTAATATTTGTGTCTTGTTTACATGAATTGAAAAAAAACTTAAAACACTTCTTATATTAAATTAAGCAAAAACACATTCTGAGAATTTAAATAGTATGTTCTTTGTTTGGAACATAAGATGACATACATCAAACATCAACATAAACATCAATACATGCGTAAAATAAAGGTACCGGTTTGGGGGAATAAAGCCAAGTGTAGTTGAATGCCATAAGAGAAAATGCCACAAAGAATATTTTATTCTGTCATTATTTTGAAAATTATCTGGTGTAAATTACTACTGAACAACATTTCTTTTTTTAAACTGTAATTTATGTTCTTTTGGTTCTGACCTCAGAATAAACACTAAAGTCTGAACGCTGAACTGTTTTTTTCTTCAGCTTTTTCTGCCGTATGGAAGGCATGTCCAATGAAGCGTAGCACACTTCATCGCCATCCTGGAAAAACATATTATATTATATTATATTATATTATATTATATTAGTATACAGATGTAATTTATGTCGCTTTAAAATGCCAAAAATGTGTAAATAATTTATATTTAAATCTTCTTCAGGTTGTGCACATATAATACAATACCTCAACATGTTTGTTCTCAGTCTGTGTTTCAGCGCCAGGAGCTACAGGAAATTAAAATAACATAAGAATCAACTTGGTTCAGATCAAATTAAGTGAGATTAAAAATTGTACTTCACAAGCTCAACTGACTGATCAAAGGCATTGCATAAAGTTTTCATTGCTCTGACTGTGACATCAGTTATTATGTGATACTCTATGAAAGCAAATCCAGAGCTGTAATAACATCTGGCACATCATAGCTGTGGCAGGTGATGGAATTGAGTTCAGGAGTGAATGATCACCTGTAGTTTTCCTCTGACAGAAGCAGTACACACAGATGGAGGAGAGGAGAACACACACTGGACACACACTGGACAGCAGCGTCCAGCAGAGCACACAGTCTGATACAGGAGGTGAGGAGGAGGTGTTGAACCGTTCAGAACCAGGAGACACTGGCTCAAAATCAAACATATGCCATTTTTAATCATTCTCACACTATTCGGTTAAGATATATGTTTTACTTTAATATTCAATTAATAAATACATTTTATTTTTAACATCCTATTCCCCATTAAAAATATATTTAATATTGCTTGTATTTGCAAAGCATAATGCTTAACGAATCAGTATCATTTGGATGTGAAAATGTATTGTGAATCTGAAAGTTTTACAAGCTATTTTAAATGTACATTAACTAAAGAATTTTTGCATTTGCATTATAAAATGTAATTTGTCTGTTGATTATTACTGTTATAAATTGCGTAAACCTTTCATTAACAAACACAAATATGAAAAGATACATGTAGATAGATAGATAGATAGATAGATAGATAGATTTTTCTCACCCAAGACAGATAGACGAGTTGTCATGTTTCCATACTCATACTCATACACTGGGTTTATGATGCCGTGTACACCTGTACGTACTTTTCTTTCTCTTTTCGCACAGTAGTACATTCCCTCATCAGAGACACTGACGTTTGTAATATGTAGATCATAGGAGTTTCTGGAGCTGTTGAGCACGAAACTAAAACGTGGAAACTTCTCCATGAATATTTCTGAAGAATCTATTAAAAGAGATGGTTGATGCTCATGTGAGCAGTTTCTCAACCAAACAATGATTGATCCTGATGGTATGACACAGTCAGAGTAGATAGTGATGCTGTCTCCTGCTTTAACTCTCATGTCCACTTCTGCCCCAAAGACTCTCTGCTGTTCACAGAACAAAACACCTGCAAAAGCAAATACAAGTTCATATACATGAAAGAGGACTGTCAATCAAATCAATACAATGGCATGAAACATAACACTTAAAAACACAAATATGGACGTACACACAAGTATGGTGACTGTAACTCTTCGTCGCTCCATCTCAGTGACCGAAAAGGATGAGGACCTTGTGTGAATGGTCTGGTTCGTAATGGTGGGAGGTATTTATGCTAAGGTACTTTGAATCTCTTGTTGGGGTTGGGATTTGAGGTTTTTCTTATTCTGGTCATTTGTCCCACTTATTTCTTCCTTTTGAAACATACTTTGACAGGAATTTAGATTAGTGAACACAATATAAATTCCTGTTATTTTTCAATATGGTAAAGTGATCATTTTTACAAATGCAGCTGTGTGAGACTTTAAAAGAGGCTCAGAAGCCATATATTCAAACAAATGGTAACATTATAATGACATACAGTATAATTGTTTGTTTTTACAATATAATGATATACAATGTGGCAATAGAGATGACCTGAAGTGCTGAGCATCATAATGGGTTTCCTGTTTTGAATCTTTTTAACTACATGGCTATTGTTTTCATCAGCATCTAAAGCCATGAGAATTTCCTGTATGTGTGAGGGTGCTTTTGTAAACGAATGCACTTACTTAAAGACGTTTGTTGAACTGGGTTCTGAAAAGTTGTTGAAAATCTATTTTTGTTTCTGGCTGTAACCACAAAGCTTTCCATTCAGTTACTAGTGCACTTAATCACAAGGTTGTGGTTTCCTGTTTTAGCATGTCTAAATTGTATTTCAGCTCAGCTCAGGGTGCTGGCTAACAGCAACTCCCCTCTCACCACTGGCCGAAGCCTCCTCATACTACCTGGAGCCCTGCTCATACTACTGCTGCTGAGGGTGAGCTGTGTCTGGCCTCTGCGATTTTTAATGCAGGATTTGGAAGAGGTTATTTCCCAAAACCTCCCTTCCCCACTGGTTCTGCCCAACCCTGAGGGTGTGTTCACACTTGTCATGTTTGGTTCGATTAAAACTAACTCTGGTGCGATTGCTCTGTTAGTGCGGTTCATTTGAGTAAGTGTGAACGCTGCCATCCAAACCCTGGTGCGCACCAAACAAGCGGTCTCGGTCCGCTTCCAAACAGGTGCGGTTCGAATGAAATATGAACGCAACACGTACCAAATACTTCTTAACGAACCAAAAACAGGAAGTAGTGACAATATGCGACGCTATGCGACATGATTTGACGACACGGAACGAGCGGAGTATCCCAAACAAAATTAGCAGAGGGCAAACGTGGAGCAACGAGGAGGTAAAGTGCCTTTTATGAGCTCTTCGTGAGTTCGCAGGTGGTGAAAATAAAATCATAAGTACACGCAACACTGAGCGTGCTTAGTCCAGCAGACGGCATTAGGTGTATTTCACTTAAAGCGGCGCTAAGCAGACCGATCGGTGAATGGGTACTTTGATGTCATACACGATCGGTATGCGCAGAACCGCTTTAGGTCGAACACACCTTTTGTTTGGGGTGTTCGGTGAGTTCCGTCCTGAAATATACATCATTCAACCCAACCAATCAGGTTGTGAATGTATCACTATGCCTTTAGGTTTGGTTTCTTTAGGTTCGTTGTCAAAAATGCCAGTATGAACCCTAAGCGGACCAGGACCAAATGTATCGTCAAATGTAGCATGTCAACAAGCTTGCCCCCCGCACCCCCACCCGCCCCCCTAAATTTGGAATCGTATCACACCACACAATTTTCGGTGCAATGCGCAGTTTGTCCTGTGGGCGGCAGTAATGGGAAAAAAGCAAAACATCACCAGCTGAAAAATTTAAATCTGCGTTGGCTGGCTGGCGCAGAGACAAAGACAGACGCGTTTTTACAGCACTGCGCATTTAAACCAATCACACACGATTGTGTTGAGCTTATGAATGCAATGGCCAATCAGAGGCGTTCTGATGAGTCATCGCTGAAACACCGGAGTTTCTTGTTCAGTGCGCGCGCGCGCTGACTGTATTCTGCTCTCTGGCGAATTCTCTCTCATCATAAACAACAAAGTGCAGATGTGCATACGAATGTAAGTAAAATATTAATTTCCCAATGTAAACAGCTTCAGTGATTTTAATGGGAGTTTTTGAGAGTGCTTGAACTCTGGCTAGACTGAAGTCAGTGATAATGTTTTTTGATAACGTAAATGTTCTTCCCTCTCTTTCTGTACCATGAAAGTGTTATAATTAGTAACTTACAATTTTTTTATTAAATACACATTAGATACAAAGTCAGTCGTATTCAAAATATTTAATGACATGACACCCATATCTGGTACTTAAGTAAAAAGGCGAGTTTTTATGCAAAGTTAATAGATTACACTATTAGGCTACTTTGCTCATCGCCCATTATAGATCAACTAACATAATCTGTTAAGGTGCAAAATGCATTTACTTACACATATTTGAGAATCGAGATATTTTATGATATAGTTAACACGTTTGGGAATATTTTAAATTAAAAGGAAAAAATAAATAAAACATAAGCCTATATCAGTTATAAAGTGCTATTGTGGCTGCTGTGTGTCACATGACAAGCATGACGACAGTCAGATGCTTTTACACATTTATTTACGGCAATACCATCTAATTGAAACATAACATTAAACACACACACACACACACACACAAATGGACTTGCACACAAGTGTGATGACTGTATCTCTGTAACACGCCATCTCAGTGACTGATAAATGTGAGGGTCTTCAGAGCGGATGTCAGCTCTTATTTGATTGGCTGACTGTGGTGGGAGGTACTTCTGCTTAAAAGCTTTGATCAATTCTGTCTTTGTACTTTTCTTTATGAAAAACAAACTCTGACAAAAATCTTGCTGCGTGTGATGATAATGAAAATCAAGTGTGCGACAACAGAGAAGACCTAAAGTGTGGGGTAATCATTATGTGTTTTAGTTATGTAACTAGTTTGTATATTGGTCTCTAAATACATAAATTAGTTACTTGTACATGTGTTTGAACAAGAATACGCTTGCTTGAGATGTGTTAAGCTCTGGGTTCTGAAGAGGTGTCAAAACCACCAATCATTCCATTACAACTGTGCGCTCTATGCAGACACTAGCTTACACACTGCACATAATAATGCGCATACATATTTGCAAGGTTGTGGTTTCCTATATTACTTACCAGCTCTCAGCATTGAGAAGACAACTTACCTTATTGTTAGAAATATAGTTATCAATAATAATGATGATAATATTAATAATAGCCTAAGATGCTATTATTGTGATGTGAAGGGCATTTAGTTTTGTAAAGCATTTGCAACTGCTTTTTAACACTTAATTGGAAGCACCAGAATTAAATTATGTCATCTGTTACACAGAGACTACTGAACAGACATTTAGAAGTTGATATGAAAATGCAAAGTATTGAAAATCAAAACATTTATTTAAAACACACTTGCAGTCTTCATATACCCGCTTCAACACTTGGGCCAAAAACAGGAAATACATCATGTAAGTAGACAAGTGATCAAGAGAAAAGACCACATGTGTATCGGGACAGACTGCTAATCTCAACATTTCTGCTCCCATGTGACCCATTAGATGTAAAGTAAAACAGCTTTTAGGCTATTGATATGAACGGTGACCGGGAGGGGACATGTTCGGTTCACTTATTTTTGTCGTGGCCATAAGATATTAACTCGTGGGAATGTGATAATATGTTGTGGCCAGGAGATCATTTTGTCGAGGTAATGACATCCTTATGTCGTGGCCGTGCGATGTGAAACTGTTGCCTCGAGATGCTCTGTTGAGGGAACAACATCCATTTCTTGTGGCCACGACTTCTTATGTTGAGGGAACGGCATATTTTTCTCGTGGCCACGAGTTTAATGCGTAAACAAACCTGTGTGACCATAGCAACCTAGGATCAACAGATATGGATCAACATTTTTATCCATCCCACAGTCTTGTAAATTTGTTAACTGATCGTGTATTTTTATTTCATATTTGTAAATTATAATTATATGTATTATTATTATTATTATTATTATTATTATTAAACTGTAATAAAATAATATTATTATATTAACTGGTTTAGGGCTATATTTTTTATATTTATTGTTGTAGTTCCCCTTTCAATTGTATCGCTTTACCTAATTAACGTTCTGTATAATTACCATATATTTTGCAAATAGTTATACCAATAAGGTTTTGACTTTATGATCGTGCCAGTGTGTGACAATAAATGAGAGTGTTGTGTTTTCATTTACAAATTCATTCCTCAACTAAATTATAGCCTATTAATTAGCCGAAATGAAATGAAATTTTATGTTAAATTCAACCTTTAAACTGTTCTTCCAGTAAAAATTCCAGTCATAAAGCATAATCAAAGCTTTATTGGCATGTCGAGCATAGGCTATTATTTACAAAACTATTCAGTACTAAAGAGATCGAAATGAAGGGAAAATAATTCAAATACATAACAACGAATATAAAAATACAACCATAATAATAATAGTAATAATAATAATAATTATTATTATTATTATTATTATTATTATATATAAATATTACGGGAAAAGACGATCAGGTAATGGAGACTGTGACATGGATAAAAATGTTTTCTTGTAGGCCTATTTTATTTTATGTAGGCTACTTTATATAACATTTATTCATGCTAAATTAATTTGAATGCTGTCTACATCACGCGCTATGGTTAATATAATAATTTAATAATGTAATAATTTCTATAATAACTAATATAATTTCTTAATTCAAAATAAAATATTAATAAATTAATCTCTGATTATCCTAGGTTGCTATGGTCATGCAGGTTTATTTACGCATTAAACTCGTGGCCACGAGAAAAATATTCCGTTCCCTCAACATAAGAAGTCGTGGCCACGAGAAATGGATGTTGTTCCCTCAACAGAGCATCTTGAGGCCACGACTTCACATCGCATGGCCACGACATAAGGATGACATATTATCACGTTCATATGTTGTGGCCACGACAAAAATAAGTGAACTGAACATGTCCCCTCCCAGTCACCGTAGATATGACTGTTTAAGCATAATTTGTACTTCTAAAAGTACTATTCATTTACTTATTTCTTTATGTAGATTTCTTTATTCTTTAAAACATTTAATAAGGAGAAATTATTGCCTACACCTGAAAGGTCAGATTAAGTTCAGAATATTAACCCCTAGATGAAACCAGTGCGTTATTATGCTTTGAACAGTAACACATATCTGACAGACAAATACACTAACGCATGTCTGTTTTAGGGTGGAAACATTTGTGACCCTGTCTGTGAAAACCCAGCTAAAGTCATTTTTTGGTGATTTACTGTTTTCTATATAAAATCATCCTTCATAAAGTATGAAAAACATTCTGTGAAAATGTAACATTGATGTCTTTATTACTGACTTAGTAAGATCATGTCAAAGATTGAAATCATAGTGAAATTAATGGTTGAAATCAAACTTTGATGCTTGTTATTTCATAATTAGATTTTGAGACTTTAGCCTGGATTTCACAGAGAGGGTCACATTTGTGGTTGGTACTTTTAGCTTTTAGCGATGTTCAGTTTCTATTTGGGGTGCTATTTATAAATTGACTTTGGCGTGCATATGATATGCAGTTTTGGCGTAGTACATATAATACACACCTATCCCCATACCCTTAATCCTTAACCATTGCGTAACATATGCACGCCAAAGTCAATTTCTGCGTTTAAATAGAATGTCAAATAGAAATAGAAACTTGTGGTATTGATACGCACATTCATGAGATTGGGTTGAACTTTGTCTCATATTTGAAGAAGTTTGCTTTATTGATTCTGTTATTTTTATGTTTATTACTGTGAAGCTGCTTTTAAACAATCTGAATTATAGCGCTATATAAATAAAGGTGACTTGACTTTATGTCACCTGTGTTTTACTCAACAGTCTAGAATGTAGCTCTTATGGCACAGAAGGACATTTTTCTTTTTTTTTTTAAACTACGGCTAATAAACACCTAATTATTATTCGAAGTCTCTCTCTCTCTCTCTCTTTCTCTAAAACATATAATTATTATTTTATAATGAAAATAAAATTTACAAGCAGAAAATGGGCAAGTAACATTTAATAGCTAAATTAAAACTGGAAACCTTTTTCTATTTTGCTAGTATTTTATTTCAACATTTTTAAAAGTGATTTACCTTTTGTGAATATGTTTTGCTTTATGGAAAATTACATATGTAAATGTGTAATTCTATTAAAAAATTTGTTCCAAGTTTGTTGCATGTGTATGCATGCATACTAAATGTAGTTAAAAAAAAGCATGCTTAAGAAAAACACAAGTTCAGAATCAAATCTGAAATTGCTGAGCACAAAAAGAGTGATCAATAGTAGGCAGTAATTTTGCAGTAGTATGTATAAATTGAGCAGGCAGAATCACATCTTGGCATAGGGTTGTGCAGAGGTCAATAGTCTATAAGAGGCTTCAGTGTGAAGGCAGATCTTTCCCATCTTACTCATCTCACACTGATGATTCTCCGTAGGATCCCCCTGAAATGAATAGGAGATGCACATGAGACAAACTTTGACATTGCAACCCTAGTGAAAAAGTAATATATTTAAAATACATTTATTTCATACTAAGTATAGTTCAAATCTATTAACATATTTATTGAAATATCGCTCGAGACTTACTGATATAATAATTATAATTCAATTTTATTTGGAGTACTACTTGTGCACAATGCATACTTAATATTAAGCCTAAAATGTGTTTTAATGTCACTATTAATAAGGACTGTATGATCTTTGAATAATATTGGTCTTTAAATGCAAGATATTTAAAGTGTACCTAAAGTATACTTGCAATAGTTCCACTTTAGCATAATCAAATATACTTCAGTATATCTTTAGTTGGACTTCAGCACTACTCCCGCACAATTAAAGTGTATTAAGCACAAAATGAGTTTCAATTAGTCCAATTTAGCAGACTTTAAGTATACCAGTTTACCAAAAGTACAATTGCAGGGTATTTTTATTTAGTACATAAAAATTTAAATGTATTTGTAGTATACTTAGCATGAAATAAATGTATTTCAAATACATTTTAGTATATTTATTTTTCACTAGGGAAAGCTTGAAAATTTACAGAAACAAATAATAATATAGATACCTTATTAACATCCGCTGTGAGTATCTCTGCACTCCACGCAGAACCTAAATATCATATGAATATATGCCAGTAAAATGAGAAAATAATGCAGGTCTAAACGCAGGAACTTCAGCGCACATGTGCTCTTAAACATAAAAATGTCAGTGCCATCTAAATACATAAATATTACTGTATAATTGTAATACAGCTTCCTTTAAATTTATATTTCCTATTCTTATTTTTAGGTTACCATTTTTTTAGTACAAAATGTAGCGAATCAGCTCATGGGGAAATATGAATAATTAATCATAACTAGTTATATTTAATTTAGGTTTTATATTCGAAAAAGGTGTCAAGGAAATGAACAGTGAATGGGTTACCTGTAGTTTGAGCCTGACAGAAGCAGAACACACAGATGGAGGACAGGAGTGAAGAGAGGAGAACGCACACCGGACACACACTGAACAGCAGCGTCCAGCAGAGCGCACAGTCAGGAGGTGCAGAGGGTTCAGAACAGGAAGTCACTTGTTCAAGATAAACACAAATGTATTAATACACATATTTTTGTTCTGTTCATCTTGTTTTTTCACAGAGAAAGGTAAAGTTCTTCAGAATTACACAATGTGATAATGACTCACAGAAGTGTTTTCTTACCTTCCAGAGAGAGACGAGTTGTTCGGTTTCCATAATAGTACACATCTGATGAGGAGATGATGCCTTTTTCATCTTTATTTACCTTATTCTCTTGTTCTGCACAGTAGTACAGTTCCAGATCAGAGACACTAATATTAGTAATATGTAGATCATAAGAGTTGCTGTAGCGGTTGTATATAGAGCTGAAACGCTGAAATATCTTCAGTTCCCATTTCGTAAAATCTATTACGAGATAGGGTTGATTTTCATGAGAGCAGTTTCTTATCCATACAATGAGGGAACCGTGAGTAAAAGAGCGAACACAGTAGAGAGTAATGTTGTCTCCTGGTCTGACTTTCATCTCCACTTCTTCTCCATAGATTCTTGTCTGATGGAACAGTAAAACTATAAAAGAACAAAACAACTTTAAAAAACACTTCAAATTGTACAATTATACAAAAATATTCACAGTAGTGACACTGTCATTCAAAAAACTCTCAAAAACTACTGACAAAGTATACTTTTTCTTACACATGAGCACGATGAGAGCAATGCTTGACCTCTCCATCTTAGTGAGTGATTGTGAATAACTGACACTGGTGAGGGTCTCAATGTAGACGTCAGCTCTAATCTGATTGGTTCACGTCAATGGCTTTCTTCATGAGGGGTTGGCAGTAAATTGAGTTGTTGTTTGGATGTAAGAAGCATGAGAGCAGTTTTAACCACTCACCAGTTACAATTATAGACTTTTTGGCTCTGATTTGGCATTGTGATCAGCCACCTGATTGGTTCATAAAAATTGAAATGTTCAAGATTACTTTAGATTATCTGATAGATATGTTCAGCAATATCTGTGGTTCAGACATGCAGATTAACATCCTTATTTGAAACACTTTGTACTTTACATTTCACATGCAATCAGCCAGTCAGTTCATGCCTGTCATGAGTGTCTAGTATTTTGAATCAAAGTTCACCTGCAAAATTCATGAGGTTCTTTGTTTTATTGTAATAGGTTCAGTTCAACATCTAAACATGTCAAAACAGGAAACCCACAAGTTTTTCATTCAGACCGCTTACAAACACTTCACATTTGCAACACGACATGAAATGCTCTCTTCACATCTCTTAGTTGATCAGTGGTCAGCAGGCACAAATGTTTCCGTTACCTTTGTGTGGTTTTGAGTGTAGGTTAGAGTGGACATATTTGAAGGAGAGAAGCACTTGTTCAAATAACTTCTGCTAATGCTTTATGGTTAAACTGACACCGACAGATGTCCATCGAGCTGAAATTAGCTACATTAAATTATGAGACAGAAATATATGAGACAGTCTTTTGTGTAAGACAGTGTAATTTAACAAAATACAAGTGAAGATCAATAAATCATGTCCAACTACAAAATATAAGTGCAATGTTAGTGTCACGATCTGCACAGGGACACGAAGATTGAGGATCCAAATGCAGTTTATTTCAGGGGTAATCCAAAGCCATAGTCCATAAACAGGCATAAGGTCATAAATAGGTTAGTCAGTCCAAACAAATACGATCAGGGCAGAAAACTTTAGACAATAAGGACAACCAGGAAACCAGACAAAGATATTAAACACAACAACGGAACCAGAAAAAAAAAGACTAAGAACAGCAGACAGACACTTGCAAGACTAAGCAATGAATGAGTGAAAAACCAGGCTTTAAAAAGGGTGAGACTGATGGGGTGATGAGAAACAGGTGATTGCAATGGATGCTCAGTCCGGGCAAAGGATTATGGTACATGTAGTCCAGGGTAGAGTGGCAAGAGTCAGGGGTGGAGTGCCCTCTGGTGGAGTTCATGGGCACTCCAGCTGGAGATCGTGATAGTTAGCAAGACTTACTGGTCCTTATGGGTCAAATAGATTTATGGGAGTATAAAGGAACAGGTTTTTGAAAATTAAAGGAGAGTGAAGAGTCATGCATATGCCCCATTCTTTTTATGGTAAAACTTGTGCTAGACCGGAAATTATAGAAAGCACTGAAACCATATAGCAACATTTTTCCCCATTTTAGAAAACCTCAAGAACAAAGTACAGCCTACATTAAATTTACTCAGTGACCATTAGTTAATTAGTTGCTAAACATGTGGGTGGAAAATCCTAGTCCAGAGATGACATTTGCCAGATGTTTGCAAATGTTTATAAATATTTGAAAATGATTAAAAATAATATTAAAATCTGAACATGTTGAACAAATCAAGCCTTTGCAGACACTGCATACAAACTAAATTCACCACAAACTCACCGCATAAGCATTTACAGACACAAACCAACCTCTGTCCTTTCTACTTCTGTCTCATATGCACACAATCAGTAAACTGAATGGAAACATTTGTGGTTAAGATGGTTGTCTTTTTACATGAGAATGAGACAAGACCTTTCTTTGAGAGTAAACAAAGACAGTAAAGATCTTTTGAAGAACAACTGAGGGTTCAAAAGAAAACCTTCAAGTAATTGATGTCTGCTTAATTTCACATTTATTTTAAATGCACTAAAGAATCAATTATGCACTAGTCTGAAAGATAACAAAAAAGGAAAATAAGGAATGTATCTTACTACTGAGGAGCAACTAAAATGAGCAGGTTTTTTTCATTTACTTCGGAGTTGTAAGACAGCACTCAAATTTTCAGGTTTTGCAGCCATGCATACTTTATTGCCTATAAAAAGCATTATATATGCATAATATGCATTATATGCATAATGAAAGCATTATATGAAAATCACAGACACACATTTTAACCAACAAACATGATAATAACATGATGTTTCAATGATATTGGCTCCTGCAACTTTCGAATCTATTCCATTTCTGTTCTGACAGGAGCGTAAGTAGTGAAATCTGAACTCTGCACTCGCGTTTTCTTGTGCCGTTTTTGTCCCCTGGTCATCACGTCTACAGATGCATAACACACTTCTTCATCATCATTCTCCTGGAATAAAAATGTATGTTTTGTTTTTATTATATATCACATATTTATTATATATGCAGTAAAATTATATATTCCATATGGTGGTTAAATGTTTGCATAGGTCATACCACAACAATCTTTCTACTTTTCGGCTTGTCTTTTTGATCAGCTGCAGAATCTAAAATTGATTATTTAAATTAGAACATTTCAACAGATGCAGGGTTTTTTTTAGTGCTCATTGACAAAAGCTATCTAAAGTATTGCGTAAATTAGTAGTGCTAAAGAAGAGTATTAACCTGTGAATAATTACCTGTCATTTTCCTACAATAGAAGCAGAACACACAGACAGAGGAGAGGAGAACACACACCGGATACACACTGAACAGCAGCATCCAGCAGAGCACACAGTCAGGAGGTGCAGAGGGCTCAGAACAGGAAGTCACTTGTTCAAGATCAAATAAACACAAATGTATCTATGAATGTTAATAAACATATCTGTGTTCTGTTCATCTTGATTTTTCCCTGAGAAAAGTAAAGTTCTTGAGAATTACACAAGCGATGATATAACTAGCAGAAGTGTTTCCTTACCTTCCAGAGAGAGACGAGTTGTTCGGTTTCCATAATAGTACACGATAGATTGGGAGATGAGGCCTTGTTCATCTTCATGTAGCTTATTCTCTTCTTCCACACAGTAGTACAGTCCCAGATCAGAGACACTGATGTTAGTAATATGTAGATCATAAGAATTATTGTAGCTGTTGTGGATAAAGCTGAAACGTTGAAATATCTCCATGTCTAGTTTCCTAAAACCTATTATGAGAGACGGTTGATTTTCATGAGAGCAGTTTCTTATCCAAACAATGCTGGAGCCAAAAGTTACAGAGCGATCACAGTAGAGAGTGATGTTGTCTCCTGGTCTGACTTTCATCTCCACTTCTGCTCCATTGATTCTTTTCTGATGGAACAGTAATACTGTAAAAGCACAAAATAACTACATGAAGCATTTCAAATCGTACTACCATACAAAAATATTCACACTAAAAACAGCTGAAGAAGTCTGTTTTTTCTTACACATAAGCACGATGAGAGCAAGTCTTGGCCTCTCCATCTTAGTGAGCGATTGTGAATAACTGACACTGGTGAGGGTCTCAATGTAGACGTCAGATCTCATCTAATTGGTTCATGTCAGTGGAAAGTTTTACCTAAAGCTGCCCGCGTCATGAGGTTTCGGCAGTAAATTAGGTTATTGTGTGAACATCGGAAGAGTGAGAGCAGTATTAACCAATGATCCATTACCTTATAGACTTTTTTTTTGCTCTGATTTGTCTTTGTGACCATGAAAATCTTAAAACTTTTCATCATCTGACAGATATGCAGAGAGACAATTATTAAAAGAGACTATAATATTTAAGGTGTTTTGTGTGTGTGCAGATAAGCCCAATATTATGTGCTTTACATTTGACATGCAATGAGTAAATTAATCAGCTTTGAACTGGAGGGTTAGTGTAAAATTTGTGTGGTTCTTTTTTGTTTTACTATAGTTGATCAAAATAAGAAGCTATGATGCAGCAACATCTAAACATGTCAAAACAGGAAACCCACAGGCCTCATTCAGACCACTTACAGCCTCCTCACATTTGCTGTTTTTACACGTCATCAAACTTCATAACTCTTGCAGATCAATGCTCACCAAACAAAAATGTTCCCTTTAGCCTTTGTTTGCTTTTGTGTGTGTGTTAAAGTGTGTGTATTTGCATGAAAGCATCTAGCTCTCATTAATTCATGCACTAGGGAAGTTTTCTGTGTGTTCTTATGGATATCAAAATAAAGTATGAATTCATTTTAAGCTTAATCTCTTATATAAACACAATGTTGTTTTGTTAAGAACTGACTTCATCTTAAAAGAACTGACTTTTAACCTTTTTTTTTTTAAATGAAAAGTCTGGCATACTGTAGTTCCGCAGTTTATCATTTAAACACACATTTTTAATGTCGAAAACAAAAAGTGGATCCCATTGCAAGAAACAAAAAAAAAAATTCACGTCCAGGCACTCACATAGCAGGCAAAATATAAAAAGCCTTTATTGTAAGACAGGGCTACATGTTAAAAAACCCCAACGCATATCAGCCCAAATAGGCCTTCGTCAGGGTGTTAGGCAATAGAGAATGAGAACTAGTTAAATAGATACACCTGTGACTATACATTTTCAAGGTCTAACCACTAGATGTCTCTTAGGAGTTTAAAAACTTTCTCTGAATAAATACATCTGTGACTATACATTTTCAGGATCTAATCACTAGATGTCTCTTGGGTATTTACAAATATCAAACCATCCCAAAGGAGAAAAAAAAATCACATCTCAAAAGACATGACAGTGGAAAAACATTTTTTCAATTGAACAAATACCAATAAAAAGCACCTACAAACAAATCTAACTATTACAAAAATGGAGAAAAATCAATATCTTCATTAAGACCAGGATATGAGAGAGCATCCAATTTATGTATCCAATACTTTTCTCGTTGTTTTAACCGTCTAAGTCTATCTCCACCTCTGATGTTTAATGACACATGTTTAATTCCAATGACCTTCAAATTGCTATCACTACCATGCATTTTTAATATTTGGAATTTTTCAATTATTCAACAATAACCAACATAACTAGTCTGGATGTTTCTTTCATTTAATCACAGTCCCTTTTCTTATATCTTTGCAGTTCACCCAAAAATGAAAATTTGCTGAACATTTACTCACCTTCAGCATAACCAAGATGTAGATGAGTTTGTTCTTTATCATATATACCTTCAACAAATATTTGTTTAGTGCTGTTTTGGACTGTTTTCACTTGTACACAGTGCTTGATCTGTGCACATTTCTCTACTGATTCAGCTGAGACAACCTTTTCTATCGACAAAGCAATGTTATGGATCAAGGTCTTGTATTTTAGAAGCAACAGTTTGGAATAAGTTAAAAAACATCTTAATGATGTATTTTTTTTTCTAACAAACATGCAGCTTTTCACTTCAAAAGATGTTAATTGATGGACTGGAGTCATGTGGATTACTTGTGCTTTTTTAAGCTGTTTGAACTCTCATTTTTACGGCACCCATTCACTGCAGAGATCCACTGGTGAGCAAGTGATGTCATGCTAAATTTACATTTACATAAATTTACAAAGAAGCAAACTCATCTACATTTTGGATGGCCTAAGGGTGAGTATATTTTCAGCAAATTTTGGGGTGAACTCTTCAAAAAAGTCTGCAGACTATTGGTCTCATTTCGAAAGGCTTCTCTATCCAGAGGTTGCACTTGTCAGCTGCATAAAGTAAGTCATTGAGTCTCATTTCAGAAAAGTACCCATTACGTTCCAAAGTAAGATAGAAGGTACAGTAATTCATGTCTCACGTGTTCAGCACTTGGAGCTGTCCAATGTGCTGAAGTTCTACTTAATTAAATTCACTATATTCCAAAGTTGTAAGGACAGTTATTTTGTCATATCACACATATGACAAAATAACGCAAATTTCTCATTAACTGAAGAATATCTAAAATACATTCCTTTTCTATCTTAAACAAGTAATCTAGTAAATGAGAAAATCCATTAGATGTTCTTGTCACTAAAACTGCATATAGAAAAATGGTAAAGGTGGTAATTACATTACATTTATTACTTTTTTGCAATACTTCTAATTTTACCACACTGTAAACATTTTCAACATGTTTTAACTGAAAACCCAAGTTTATTGAGCAACTTTGTCTCAAAAAATATTCATGTCAATCTTTTTTTTCTTTTTTGTGAATACATTTTTTAATTAACTAGTCCTTAAAGCTCATCTCAATATGCCTGTAATTTCAGTTAATTCTCTAATTATTGCTCTAGAGTTCCAATATAAACAGTAATTAAGAACATAAGATCAACAAGAACTTGAGATCAAAACAGCAACCTCGGGAAAATGAACTGTTCTGGACATGGCCTAATTTAAAATGATTTAAAAGGCAATAAGTATGTTGTCACAAAGCTTAGCATAAGTATAGCACACACTCGAGGAAGCATGCTAGCTTAGATTTTTCTAGCCCAAAGGTGGTGCTGTAACCTAAAAATGCCTATAACTACATGACAAATTAAAATGATTTCAGATACAACTCAAATACAACTGAAATTGTAATTTTTGGGATTAAAAACTTATTGGCCAAAGCAGTTATGCTGTTTGGATAACTGCTGCTTTAAAATACAAAAGCCTGATTATATTCAGTGTCATCTAATACCACTGAATTTGCAGTAATAAAACAAACTAGTTCTTTGTCTATGCTTAATGTCATTTTATGCAACATACATCTGTGGTCTGTGTCAAATTTTTTTAGTATCTGAAGAATTTCCTGATTACCTGATTGAGTAAGTTTATACAGTACACTTACATTTATTAACACCTTGCAGGTAACTTTTTCCAACATGCTTCTTTCTGTTTTTGTCTGTTTTCACACTTACATTCAGGTGCATGTCCAGCATGCAGCCACACCAGGTTAAACACAAACACTTTCATGATGTTCACTGTTGCATGCTCAAGTGGAAACATTTGTGGTTTGTACTCTCACCTTCCAATGAAGCATAGCACACTTCATTTCCATCCTGGAAAAACATGCATGTTTTTATTATATTAATATATTTTTATAATCTATTTAGTTCATTGTGAATATAAATAATAGTATATATAAAACACTATTATATATTATATTATGTATAATGTCATATGTAATGTATTATATAGATGTAATTTATATAGCTTTGAACTCTCAAACAAGTGTAAATAATTTATATTTAAATCTTCTTCAGGTTGTGCACATATGATACAATACCTCAACATGTCTGTTCTCAGTCTGCGTTTCAGCGCCAGGAGCTACAGGAAATTAAAATAACATAAGAGTCAACTTGGTTCAGATCAAATTAAGTGAGATTTAAAAAGCTCAACTGACTGATCAAAGGCATTGTATAAAGTTTTCATTGCTCTGACTGTGACATTTTACAGTTAATATGTGATACTGTATGAAAGCAAATCCAGAGCTGTAATAACATCTGGCACATCATAGCTGCAGCAGGTGATGGAATTGAGTTCAGGAGTGAATGATCACCTGTAGTATTCCTCAAGCAGAAGCAGTACACACAGATGGAGGAGAGGAGAACACACACTGGACACACACTGGACAGCAGCGTCCAGCAGAGCACACAGTCTGATACAGGAGGTGAGGAGGAGGTGTTGAACCGCTCAGAACCAGGAGACACTGGCTCAAAATCAAACATATGCCATTTTTAAACATTCTCAAATTATTCGGTTAAGATATATGTTTTATTTTAATATTCAATTAATATGTACATTTTATTTTAACATTCTATTAAAATTAAAAATTACCATTAAAATTATCTTTAATATTGCATATATTTTACATTTGCCAAGCATAATGCCTAACAAATCAGTATCGGCACTTAGATATGAAAATATATTGTAATTTGTTTGTTGTTTATTAATGTTAAAATAATAAAAATCTAAATGAAGTATGCATAAACCTTTTATTAACAAACATTCATACAAACATATATTAACTAATGCACACATGAGTTAATGTATAGTATTAACTAATAGCGTAAATTAACGTGTTCATTACCGCAATGGGTCAAAGCTATGCATTTCAACTTCCAAATGAGCTAATAGTCATGTGCCTCAACAAGTAAAGTCATAACATAATGACGGATTTGTAAATCATTTGCTAATGATTAATTAAAGCAGACAGCTGGAAGTTGAAATGTACAGCTTTGATCAATTGGTAATTAACACATACATTTAACCTATTAGTTAATACTATATGTTGTTAAGGAATTAATACATGATGACACATTTAATTAATAGCAATTCATATATTACTTGATCTATTAATCAGATAGACTCTTTATTAGTTGCTGATGTAGTAATCATTAATTAAAGGTTTTAACTCAGAATTATCTGTGCATTAGTTAAGAATGAATTAATGCACATTAGTGCACCCGTATTGTAGTGTTACTGAAATTTTTATACATAGATGCAGTTTCCTGCAGTTTTAAGTTTGACTGGAGGATTGTGTCAGCATAAAGTCTGTATATGTGCAAGACTTGTCGTTAACTATATTAAAAATATAATGAAACTAAAAGAAATGGGTTTGTTAACACAAAACAAATCAACATGAACAACAGTGAAAATGTTTTCTCACCCAAGACAGATAGACGAGTTGTCTTGTTTCCATATTTGAATTCAAATTGATCATTTATGATGCTGTTTACATCTTTACTTATTTTCTTTTCTCTTTTCGCACAGTAGTACATTCCCTCATCAGAGACACTGACGTTTGTAATATGTAGATCATAGGAGTTACTGGAGCTGTTGAGCACAAAACTAAAACGTGGAAACTTCTCCTTGAATATTTTTGAAGAATCTATGAACAAAGATGGTTGATGCTCATGTGAGCAGTTTCTCAACCAAACAATGAGTGATCCTAATGGTATGACACAGTCAGAGTAGAGAGTGATGCTGTCTCCTGCTTTAACTCTCATGTCCACTTCTGCCCCAAAGACTCTCTGCTGTTCACAGAACAAAACACCTGCAAAAGCAAATACAAGTTCATATACATGAAAGAGGACTGTCAATCAAATCAATGGCATAAAATACAAAATTTAAAAACACAAATATGGACGTACACACAAGTATGGTGACTGTAATTCTTGCTCGCTCCATCTCAGTGACTGATAAGGATGAGGACCTTTAGTGTCTGGTTCATAGTGGTGGGAGGGGAGTTTTTTTTTTTGTTTTTTTTGTTTTTTTTTGTGAGGGTAATATTATTCTGGTCTTGTTCCACTCATTTCTTTTCTTTTCTATTATTATTATTTTTATTTTTTTTGAAACACTTAAAAAGCTCTTTTAGGTTTTCACCATCAATTAAATAACTTCTTAGTCAGCTTCATTTTGAATTACTACACATTTAAATGTAACAGAATGTTAAATAATTTGTTTCAATATGGTAAAGTGCTCGTTTTTAAAATACAACTGTGTGACACCTTAAAAGAGGCCGAGAGGCCATAAATTCAAACAAACAATAACATCGCATTGACATCAAACATGACTTTTTTTTTCTTTTTTTTTGACAATATAATTATGTTTAATGTGACAATGGCGATGACCTAAAGTGCTGTTCGTCATTATAGGTTTCCTGTATTGCATATTTCAACTACATGGCTATTGTTTTCATTGGTCTCTAATCCCCCCAGAATTAATGTAACTGTATGTGTTTGTTTGTTTGTATAAGAATGCATTTACTTGAAGATGTTTATTGTTTTTAGAAACCTATTTTTGTTTCTGGCTGTAACCACAAAGTGTTCCATTCACTTACTAGTGTGCGTAATCACAAGCTTGTGGTGCCATGTCTAAATTGTGTTTCAGCTCTCAGAAATGGTAGAAGAACTTTCTCCACTTCATAGAAATGCAGCCTTAAATTCTTTGCAGCACTAGACTGAATTACGAGTGAAGAAAATATTTAAATAGAATAAAAGAGTTTCAGCACCAGAGACAGTGAACAGCATGGTAATAGCCATAAATAAACATACTGCTAATACTTTGTTCACTGTATTTGAGGATAATTACATGGTGCTGTAACTTTATATTAATGAGATTGCAATCCTTATTGTTCGTAATATAATCCTTAATGTTTTTCATTGAATGTCAGTTTAATTTAGCAATATGTAGTGTGTGTGTGATAATATATAAAATAATTATAATTATTAATATGTAATAATTAGATCATCATGGATTTTACATGCTCCAATAAAATTCATATTTATTTTAAATAATATATACTAAATAACTTGAATGAATGAAAAATTAATCAATATGAAAAAATATATTTTCAATTTGACAAAACAAAATTACCTGTAAAATAAACAGATTTATATACAGATTGTTAAAATGACCAAAAAGGAAGTAAACATTTGCAAGAGGACAGTCACAAAGACCACTGGAAACATCTGTGGTTTGAACTTTACATTAGAAAAAAAGAGATGATTGGACTCTGTTTATTACCATGCCAACCTGTAAATAGCACTGCATTCACACACGAAAACCACTTCTTACATCCTGTAGCATCAAAAAGCCACTGTTGCATTTTGTAACATAACACCTGCGTACAATGTTCACGATGTATACCTATATCAGTCTGCTCAAGCAAATGCTGTCTCTGCCCTGCCATTGAAGACCAGGCCAATAAGCTTTTATTATTATAAGATTATGGCCTCTCTGTCTTCCTGACCCTGGTATGTAAGTCTGTTTGGTTATTTCTGTAACACAGTTGTTTTGTAGCCTGTTGGTCAACGCCCCCCAGAGGGCCATGGATGTAATGCAGGAGGTCATCAGTTGATAAACAATATAGATACAGATATATATCTGTAAATAATCAGTAAAATGTACTACTCAAAACTAAATTGCATTATTTAAGTTTTTAATTATAAATAGCCTACTTCACTCTTCTCACTGTGTAACTTGAATATAGTAAGAAATCAATAAAAATAAAAAAAAACACAATTTGTGCACAATGCTTCAATTTATTCCATTCTATCAGTCAGTTACATTTCATAAAGGCATTTCTGGACTTCTGTGTTCTAGTCAAGAATCGGTCCTGATGAAATGATTTGTGGGTAAGTGATTTTGACATCATCGTTTGTAATTGTAAGGAAGACCAGACTAGTTTGGACTATTAGCCACTAGATGGAGCCATTGAGTGCTCATCATTTTTTACTCTTTTGAGCTGTATTCATATTCACAGACACTCTCATAACTCAGAGAAACTGTATACATTTTTCAATGTAAACATTCGAAAGCATGTGCTTATTACTGATTGAACAGCAAGAATTTGACCAATTACATCCAAATTTATTTTGAGATATATATTCATATTTTCTACAGATAAACACAGACACACAACCTTATGATTTTACTTTAGACTTGTTTGGGACATCTGATTGATAGTCAGGCTGATATCAAGAAGCTTTTAATTCAATGCAGAACATGTAACAAACAAACAAATTAATTAATTATAATTCATTAAGAACATCCAGTTACATGTTCTGCATAATCTTGATATTTATTAACAGTAATTTACACTAAAATTATCAAATAAATCAAATGTAAAACCCTAAAGTATCATTGGATCAAATAGGGGCTTAAATGCATTAAAAAATAAGACACACACAAATATGTATCACTCATATAAAGTAATTATACTTTATTGTGTTCAGTGCCAAAAATTAATTAATGTATGCTTGAGAAGACAGCACACTAAAATAATAGCTGAAATAGCAGAGCATAAAAAAACTAATAGACTAGCAACAACATATATATTTGAAATGAGGAGACAGAATCACATCTTGGCATAGGGATGTGCAGATGTCAGGAGTCTATAAGAGACTTCAGTGTAGAGACAGATCTTTCCAGTCTTACTCATCTCACACTGATGATTCTCCAGAGGATCAGCCTGTAATGATTGAGAGGGAGGGAGAGAGGACAACCTAAACAAAAACACCACATCAACCTACAGTACATCTTTGAAATAGTGAAGCTTACTGACAATAAAGAATAGTTACCTTAAAAACATTTGCTTTGAGTATCTCAGCACTCAGGTCAGGACCTAAAAAACATGCAATGAAAGTCTGAAAAAGTATCATTCTGACTGTTGGAAATCTATGCAGGTCGATATTGAAACTTCAAGCACGTGCTTTTTAACATAGGCCTACATTGAACCACTTTCACAACTTTTAAAAAATAAAAAGTTTAATATGCGTTCTAGTATATTTCAGCACAGCTTAATTACTCCTTATTATAATAATAATTAATAAGATGCTTTAACTTAACACGTTCATTTTCTATAAAATGAATATTAAAGGAATAGTTCACCCAAAAATTTACAATATTATGGATAGAGGACCTGTCTTAATGATAAAAAAAGTGTCCTTACAAAATGCAGATTTTCACTTCACAAGTTGTTAACTGATTAACTGGAGTCGTGTGGATTACTTGTGGATTATTGTAATGTTTTTATCAGCTGTTTGGACTCTCATTCCGACGGTGCCCATTCACTGCAGAGGATCCATTGGTGAGCAAGTGATGTGATGCTAAATTTTTCTACTATGAAGACAAAAACTCATCTACATTCTACATCTATATCATCCTGAGGATGAGTACATTTTCAGCACATTTTCTTTTTTGGGTGAACTACTTTTCTAATGTGTGAATGAGTTACCTGTAGTTTGAGACGACAAAAGCAGAACACACAGATGGAGGACAGGAGTGAAGAGAGGAGAACACACACTGGACACACACTGAACAGCAGCGTCCAGCAGAGCACACAGTCAGATACAGGAGGTGTGGCAATGGTGGTGGATTCATGCGTAGATACTGCCTCTAAATTAAACAAAAAAGATGTTTGTTTGTTTTGTTTTTTTACTTATCACCTTCACCACATTACACTTTAGAAGACATATATGTTACATTATTTTGCATTAATTGCAAGCTTTGTATGAAGTATAGAGCAACTCTCCTTCTTTCCTCTTTGTAGATCATTTGGCATATGTGGCATATTATTTGACATATTGTAATCAGTTTTTAGTCAGATTATTAATATTCTTTTAATTTTGTGAAAATAAAAATATTTCAAATAGACTGAGGTGAAAATTACTGTAAATTAATCACAACATAGATTGTCATGGATTTTTTTTTAAGATTATGAATTTTTTTTTTTTATTCTTTCCACTTTCTGCTCAGAAAAGGGGTCAAGCAAAGTTTCTTCAGAATTTACCAATATGCCTAAAAGCACAAACAATAGTAAAAAAAAATTCGCGCCCAAGACAAATAGATGAGTTTACATGTTTCCATACTCATATTCAGACTTTGGGTTTATGATGCCGACCTGTACATATTTCCTTTTTTCTTTTAGCACAGTAGTATATTCCCTCATCAGAGACACTGATGTTTGTAATATGTAGATGACAAAAAACAACAACATGAACAACCATATAATTTTTATCACCTTTCATTAACACACACACACACACGTATAGTGATTGAAGAATAAAAATGCAAAAAAAGTTTGATTGTGTCAGCATAAGTATGTGCAAGACTTTTCATTAACTAATATAATGAAAATAAAAGAAATGAGTTTGTTAACACAAAACAAATCAACATGAACAGTGAAAATGTTTTCTCACCCAAGACAGATAGACGAGTTGTCTTGTTTCCATATTTGTATTCAAATTTAACATTTATGATGCCGTTTACATCTTTACTTATTTTTTTTTCTGTTTTCGCACAGTAGTACATTCCCTCATCAGAGACACTGACGTTTGTAATATGTAGATCATAAGAGTTTCTGGAGCTGTTGAGCACAAAACTAAAACGTGGAAACTTCTCCTTGAATATTTCAGAAGAATCTATGAACAAAGATGGTTGATGCTCATGTGAGCAGTTTCTCAACCAAACAATGATTGATCCTGATGGCATGACACAGTCAGAGTAGAGAGTGATGCTGTCTCCTGCTTTAACTCTCATGTCCACTTCTGCCCCAAAGACTCTCTGCTGTTCACAGAACAAAACACCTGCTAAGGCAAATACATGAAAGAGGACTGTCAATCAAATCAATGCCATGGCATGAAACATAACATTTAAAAAACATGCACAAAAAGAGGACTTACACACAAGTATGATGACTGTAACTCTTGCTCGCTCCATCTCAGTGACAGAAAAATGTGAGAGTCTTCAATGCGGATGTCAGCTCTTATTTGATTGGCTGTGGTTGGAGGTATTTCTGCTAAAGGGTTTTGATAAAGTTAAGGGTTGAAAATGTTTTTTTTTGGTTTTTTTTAGATTGGTCACTGTTTTAGTTACTAATAACCAGGTCATATTTTTAAAAAGATGTGTGTGTGTGTGTGTGTGTGTGTGTGTGTGTGTGTGTGTTCCATTACACTTGTGCGCTCTATGCAAGCAGCTCAAACACTGCACATAATAATGCACATACGTATTCACAAGGTTGTGGCTTCCTGTCTTTCTTACTGAGAGGAGAGCTTACCTTGCTTGTTAAAAAAATGGTTAGCAATAATAATAACAATCATAATCACAATAATCATAATCCATGCAATAAAATGATTCACATGAGGACAGTCACAAAGACCACTGGACACATTTGTGGTTTGGACTTCTAGAGAAGGTCGGAATCTCTTTACTGGAAATGTAACCTGTGCACCCAACAAGACTGAATTCACACATAAACAACAAACCACTTCTTACATCCTGTGGCCCCTAAAGGCAACTTTATAATGTTTACTAGCCTTCATGTAATTTCTTCACGAATATGCTCAGTAAATTATCCCTCTGAATATCCATCTTGATCACTGTGTTTTCTTTATTGATTTTCACAACAAATAATATGTGACTGAACCTTTGCAACTTGCTATATACAGCCAAATTCTCACATAAATGAGTGCTAGTTCGATATATACACCACCAAAAAAGATCAAGAGATCAATTGTTATATTATACTAAAATAAAAAGGCACAGACACAGACTAACCAGTTTTAATGTCAGGAATCTCAGAAAAAAAGGGGTTGATGATTTAAGTACAGCTTGCAACAACGAGGTACATTAAACAAAAAAATGTCAACTGTGAGTCTTATTGACATAGAAAAAAAAGGAAATACATCATGTAAGTAGACAAGTGATCAAGAGAAAAGACCACAAGTGTGAGTATTGGGACAGACTGCTAAAATCAACATTTCTGCCCCATGCGGTGACCTGTTACATGTAAAATAAAACAGCTTTTAGGCAATTGATATGACTGTTCTCTCATGTTTTTGTACTTAGTATGTAGTTCTTTATTTCTTATTTTTTTAATAAGGAGAAATTACTGAGTGCACCTGAAATAACAGATTATGAATATTAGCTACTAGATGAAGCCACTTAGTTTTGCTTTCCTTTATAATTATTTCCTGTTCTGTTGACTTGTTACTTAATCAACCACCAAAGTGCATGCTCCACATAAATCTAAATTGCATTAATGCTATGAAATTTGTTCAAAATATTATATATGACAGACAGACAAATACACAGACAAAAACACAAATGAAAGTCTGTTTTAGGGTCCAGTGGAAACATTTGTGGTTGGTACTTACAGCTGACCACAAGAAGAGAGAGAAAGAGTAAGAGAGCGAGTGAACGAACGGTGGACAAACACACAGGAAACCATTTTAACATCCTGTTGATCAACAACTCTTCATTTTGTTGCAGCAAAGATGCCCATTTTACTCATGTTAATGGCTATGTTTGTTGTCTTCGTAGGTGTAAGAACCCAGAAAAAAAGAGTTTTTCAGGGTGCTTGTACAACAAATAAAGCAATTGTGATTCAGGGCTGCAAAGATACATTGAGATCTGCATTTAGCTGTTGTTACTCAATTATATGTTTTATGCATGTAACTTAATGTCACAGAAGGGCATATTGATAAAAAAAAAAAAACTAAGGCTAATAAGATCCGATTTAAGGCTTGAAGCATGTATGTGTGTGTGTGTGTGTGTGCGTGCGTGCGTGCGTGTGTGTGTGTGTGTGTGTGGGTGTGTGGGTGTGTTTGGGTTGGTTGCTTGCTTGCTTGGTTGAGTGACTGACTGATTGACTTACTGACTGATTGATTTTAATCCAATAAATTAAACCAAATTAATGTTATTTTAAATGTGTGAATAATATTTGATACAATACTGTAAATACTGAAGCTTTTCCTATTTAGTATTTTATTTCAACACAAAAAATATCTTTTTTTATTTTATTCAATGTTGTGTATTGTGCATAAATACATATGTAAATGTATCATTGGATATAAAAATGGGTTTGTGTTGCATGTGTGTGCATGTGTACTAAATGTAGTAAAAGCATGTTTGAGAAAAATGCAAGTTCAGATATCAAATCTGACATTGCTAAGTACAGACATTTTGCAGTAGTATGTATAAATTGAGCAGGCAGAATCACATCTTGGCATAGGGATGTGCAGAGGTCAATAGTCTATAAGAGGCTTCAGTGTGAAGGCAGATCTTTCCCATTTTACTCATCTCACACTGATGATTCTCCATAGAATCCCCCTGAAATAGGAGATGCACATGAGACAAATTAAACTACTGTCTAAAAGCTTGAAATTTTACTAAAAACAAATAATAATATAGATACCTTATTAACATCTGCTGTGATTATCTCTGCCTTCCACTCAGAACCTAAAGATCGTATGAATATGCCAGTACAATGAGAAAATAATGCAGGTCTGAACACAGGAACTTCAGCACACATGTGCTCTTAAACACATAAAAATGTAAGTACCATCTTAACACGTAAATATTATGTAACTGATATACAGCTTTCATTATAAGCAGTCATTTTTGAACATATAAACAACATTAAATATTGAAAGATCTTTTATTTCACATTCAGCTTCATACTCCTCAAAAAAAAAAACATATTATGGCAGCTACACAATATCAATCATTAAACTGAAGAAACATAACTTTAATTTAAATTTACATAAATGTGAATTCTAAAAAAGCAAGACTGGGCATATAGATTATTTTCTGACAGAACACTGACATCTGCAAAAGCACAAATATTGTGTATACAAAAGAAAAATAACAGCATTCTTTTCAATAACTTGCTTTTAAAAGTAAACACATTTGACATATTTATGATTTGTTTGCCGCTTTAACCAAAGTATTTAGATTTTATATGGGAAAAATCAAGTAAAAAAGGTGTCAATGGAATGAACAGTGAATGGGTTACCTGTAGTTTGAGCCCGACAGAAGCAGAACACACAGATGGAGGACAGGAGTGAAGAGAGGAGAACACACACCGGACACACACTGAACAGCAGCGTCCAGCAAGCTCCATTAGTCTGACTGAAAACCAAAACACCTGTAAAAGTGCCAAATAAATGTATAAAGCATTTAAAAATGCGTTATGATCTACCATACAAAAGTTGATCTAAACATAAAAATAATTTAATATTTCTTACATAAAAGCACAGTGAGAGCAACTCTTGACCTCTCCATCTTAGTGAGTGATTGTGAATAACTGACACTGGTGAGGGTCTTAATACAGATGTCAACCCTTATCTGATTGGTTCACGTCAATGGAAAGTTTTAATGCCTTGAGACAAAGGGGTTTGGAATTAGATATGAAAAATAGGAACTATGTCAACCAGTCACCAGTATACTTAAATTTGGTTTTAGTAGCAACTACTCATACTTTTATTCCAAAAGAGCATTTGTGGTGGACAATATAAACTGGCCTTGCAAATCAAAGTTTCCAAACAAAATTCGAGCCAAGGAGCTTCTCTAATGAGATGGTGAGTTGAATCAATTATAAGAACACATAAACAAACCAAGAACAGATTGAGAATCACCGCCAGAGTCAAACTCATTAAATTCTTTGATTAATAGTTGCAGGTCTTACAAAGAACTAAACATGACAAAACAGGAAACCCACAACCTCTTCGGTCTACTCTGAATGCAGATGAACTCATTATCTGAGCTGAACTCTCAGTTTAAACCTTCTAGTTCATCACTGATCTCCAAATGCCTACGTGTGGTTTTCTGTGCTGATTAAGAATGCACACATTGGCACAAAAGGTAGCTTGACCCCAATCCACAGCTGTTTTTGTCATAGCTATGATACTGCAAATTAAGATGGTGCCGTTTCCTATTAACTGGCTCTGTCCAATTAATAGGTCACTGTGCATCTGTCAGCAGTACCTATTTGATCATGTGTGGATTGAACTCCAGAGAGAAATTCTCAGAGAAAAAGACTTAGGCCTATTCTCAAACTCCAGCACATTAGAAGGTGATATGCAAATGTTTGGTTGCAACCGCAACTCAGTAATCCCACAGAAGAAGAAGAAAGCATGTAAACTGATTGTGTTTGATTGCACCTGTCGTTGAAACAGAGTGATAATTGTACGTTTATTCGGGACCAGCTTGACCACAAGGCTTTAGTGGAAGCACGTCCACAGTTCATTTAAAGGGTCAGAATGAGGAATGGAATTCCACTTTTGAGAGAAAAGAGAGCAGTGTACTATGGAAACGCAACTCAGAACTGCGATAGATCACGTAAATACGATTATCATTTAATTAAAACTAAATTTGGTCTACAAACTGTTCGTAGGCTAGTTGTCGGAAAACTGGCTTCATGGAAGACTTCCACTAGCAATCCGGCAACCCGGTAAGTAAATAATTTCATTTTGATGTGTCATATGATATATTTATTTATAATTTATTCATGGATATGATACGAAATAGTCATGTCGGATTTGTGAACAAATTGGCCTTTTGAGTCGGATCTTCTTGTTTGAACCTGTTCACAACCAGTCTGAACGATTCGTTATCGAGTCATCAGGGCATTTTAGTGAAACAATGAGTGATGGAGCGAAAAGTAATTATTTTTAAAAAATGGCATATATTTTTTTAAATGCATTTTCGGATCAGTTTAGCTTTTGAAGCTTATAAAAAGTCCATAACTTAATTTTCAAATAAAACCATATTGTGTCTGATTTACTTCTCATTCAAACCTTGTTTTGAATTTTCAAATGTAGTTTGATTGACCCAAAACATTACAATTTTGTTTATTTCTGAAAATACTTTTTAAAAATCTGAAAATAAATAAATAAAAATTAAATTTTTTCTCCCCAAAACAGACCCAAATGCAATGG